GAGCAGATGGATCCCCACAGTCTGGTGAAATTGATGCAGTGGGGAGTAACGAGAGGTTCTGGCAGATGCTAGAGGCTCAGAGGAAAGGCAAGACGAAAGTTTAATCAGAATTCTATTGGCACCATTAGTATCGGAATTCTTCGCTGGCAGCTGAAGACGGGGACGGAGCGCTTATGGGAATGCCCCGAGTGCTGTGATGTCGGTTCTTAAATCAAATCAAATCCCCCCCCCCCCACCCCAAGCAGCAATTTCTTTTGCGGGTAGCAGCCTTACCACCACAGAAATAGTGTACCTGTACTAAAAGATTCCCTTAAACCATTTTTAAAAAGGGTACTGCTGGGGTGACCATTTATTAACCCTCACATAATGCTTCAGGTAAAAATGGACGCTAGGCACGGCCACTTTTTTTTTTAGTCGTGGTAAATGTTTTTTTTTTTTTTCTTATGCCATTCGGTGGCCGTTGCAATTTTTCTCCATTTGTAGACTGGAAGGATATAGTTTCGTCGCCCAGCTTCTGAGTTGAGTGCATGGCGTGACACTGTGAGCTACGTGTGTTTTTCGTTGGCACAGGAGCGGAGCAATTATGGGGTGACCCGTTTGCTTTGAAGCTGAAACTAGGATTACCAGATTACCAAATTACCAGATAAAATTGTAATTTTTTTTTTCAAGCATTTATTTATAAACTTCTTATTATTTTAAGTAGTATATATTAGCCATTCAGCTCATTATTAAAAATAATAATAATAATGAAAAACATGATAATTATAATAATGGCCTAAATGGCAAATAAATATGAATATATAAATGAAGTAATGTGAAATTTAACCCATACTTGAAAAGATAATTATGTGTATGGTTAAAGAGCCATCTTAGCATTTACTAGGTGGCGAAGGGGCTTAGCCCGCCCCTAATTTCTTTTGTGTGGGGACACTCAAGGACCCCTAATGATTTGCCCAGGAAACGTGTATATTGGTGAAAAGGTCTTGGTTTGGGGGAGGAGGTGGGGCAGGCTAAGCCCTCAGTGTTTTTTTTAGGGTGGGGGGGGGGGAGCGAACTGGTCTGAGCTTCAAAGTTCAAAGCTTTTTGCTTAGGTGGTGATAAAGGCGTGGTTTTGCCGTGCCTTCCCCCCCCCCCACCCCACTTATTAATTTTATAATTAAGAGAAGGAAATAGTGCCATTCCAACTCCCCCCCTCCCCCACACAAATAATTGCCTTGACAATATGTTAGACTAAGGGCGCTTCTCCCCTCCCCCCTTTTCCCCAATGTCATGGTGGTGCTCGTCGACAGAGCACTAGATGATGATGATGATTGTTTGGGTTTGTTCGTAAACTACAAGTCAAAACATGGCCGCTGTCACTCCCGCTAACTACTTTATTTGAACTTTGAAACACTTGGCTATATTAATTTAAACTTCTTGAACCAGTTAATCGTTGATGGGATTAACATATAATGAGTTCGTTCTTTCTTCACACTGCAAGTTAAATCTGAAATCATCACACTGCGTTATGTAAGATTATCTTTCAAATATTTTTATTAATTTTATTTATTTGATCTTGTTTTTATTAACCTTTGATGATTGACTCAGTTGAGAAATGAGACAACTGGTTGGTTATTGACTGTTTAGCTTGTGTTTGTGGCGTCTTTTTCAGACGGTTGTGTGCGTTTTTTTTTTCTTTTTTGATGAGTAAAGTAAAGTAACAGAATAAGCCAGAGGGTTGGAGAAATAGAGGGATGCCTAACTAAAGAAAAACACGAAGAGGAAAAGAAGCAAACTACAACCAGGAAGGAGTAGATAGGGGAGAATGACAAAGATCCGATAATGAATAGCTGCAGAAAGCTATTTATATATACTGTATTATACAGAATATAATTCTTCTTATTTCGTTCGCTTGAAGATGATTATCTATATCTGCTATGTTAAATATAATATTATAGTTTGTTCCGACAACGTATAGGATGAATCTACTTGAGTTGGTTAAAAGTTTGCCATTTAGTGCTTCAGTGGGTGATTAAATGCGGAAGAAAAAATGAGGACTGAAATAGACTACTGGCCTGGAGAGAATGATGTACCTGGGTGTGACCAGGGGGTCTGGTTGGCACACTACACTCAGAGGAAAGGCAAAACAGACATATAACCAGACTACGACCATTACCATCAGTATTGGAACTCTGCACTGGCTGCTGAAGATTTTGATGGAGCACATTTAGGAATGCCCAGAGTGCTGTGATGTCAATTTTTGACTCGGCTGAAAAACTCAACTGACTCTATGGAAAAAAAGCTGAGAGCAAAGTTGATGTTTTTTAGAGATCGATATTTGCAGATGACCAAACCATCAAAGATGCAAACAGCAGGGAATGGAGAGTGAGAAGCAATAACGAAATTCATAATCTGTTTAATTCACCACTGATCACTGGCATCATGAGAGCTAATAGACTGAAATTGTTGGGGCATAATGAAAGAATGTCAGATGACAGAAGTAAAAACTGTATACACAAGGGAGATGAATGCTCGTAGACCATGAGGCAGACCAAGAAGAAGTAGGAGAGATAGTATACAGACAGACATGCAAACACTTGGTGTTACCAGCTGGAAAGAGAAGGCCAACCAGAGAGATGAATGGAGGCGAGTGATATCTGCAGCAATGAACATCAAGGGCTCAGAATGCTCAAGAAGAAAAAGAAGAAAATGACCAACTTTTAGTAGCAGACACTGAAGAAAGTCTTGTTCTTCTTAGCATTCACTGTCTGTAAACTCTTAACGGAAAGTTCTGGTTGTTTATTCACTTCTAGACTTTGATCTTGTTCCAAAACTTGAGTTTTGCTTGCACCATCATTTTACACATCTGGCTTATTTGTATGCAGACTGTTGGTTCGTCATCTCCCAGGCAGATGTACTCCGACTTTAAAGGAAACTCCCCTAATGAGTCACCTTGCATGACATGCTTGTTAGAGAGGCAGTTGGTCTATTCCCCCCCCCCCCTCCCCCCCCCCCCCCCCCCCCCCCCCCCCCCCCCCACTTTCCATCCTAATGGTGCCCCAAACCCACACAGGGTATAAAACGCTCATAAAAACCATAAGTAAAAAAGTAAAGGACCCTTTTTAACGCCTTTAGGCTTATAGGGCTAGACCTATATTTTTTTATAGACCTATCGGCACAAGATGGGTGATATGGTCAGCATCACGCCGCATAAAAACCATACCGGAGGCAGAGAAAAATATGGGCAGCTACAGCTAAACAAATGGAAGGTTTCCTTCATAGTCAGAGTGCATCAGCCTGAGAGGCAGGAAACCAACAGTCCACGCATAAATGTGTCAGATCTGTCAAACGGATGCACATGCAACACTCAGGTTCTGGAACAGGACTGCAGTCCAAAACGGACGAACAACCAGAACTTTCCACCAGAGTTTACAGCTGGTGAACGCAAAGAAGAAGAAATGGAAGGTTAATAAGAAAACATGAGTGAACAGCAGTCAGAGAGAGTATTCATCAAAGGAGATCAGTTGCAGCCAACCTTCATTGTTGGGATGATACCTAATACATAAGGGAGGTAGAGGCAGTCACTGCTGCCTTCCGCTGGCTTGAGAATCAGCTGTACACACTGCTATCATTGTAACTGACTCACAGAGCATGTTGAGAAAGGTGGAGACAGGCGTGCTCTGTGCAGAGTGGCAAGCATCACTTCAAAGGTCTAGGGTAGTTAGCATCCTTTAGATATTTTCTCCAGGTCATGCCGGTGTGTTGGGAAATGAGCAGACAGATAGACTGGCCTGTTCTGCACCACTTGGTGGTGAACTCATGTATCACAAGCAGGATGTTGTGAGGGCCCTTTGGGAGCGAGTGAACAGTGCCGAGGAACAGATAGATCATTATGGTCTCCCCCGTGTGGGTTCCGGGGCCCCATTGTGGGGAAAACAAGAATAGACCCACTGCCTCCCCAAAAGCATGTCGTAAGAGTCGACTAACTGGAAAGCTTCCTTTGAAGTCGGAGTGCATCTGCCTGAGAGGCAAGGAACCAGCAGTCCACATTCAATTGAATCAGATCTGTAAAACTGATGCACACGCAACACTCAGGTTCTGGAGCAGGACTGCAGTCCAGAAGTGGACGAACAACCAGAACTTTACGCCAGAGTTTACAGCTGGTGAACGCAAAGAAGAAGAAGAAGATTACGGTCTGAGGAGAATGGCACTGCGAGGAGTTACAAGGGGATCTGGCCGACACTTGACACTCAGGGGAAAAGCGAGACAGATATACAATCAGACAGTTACTGGTACCATCAGAATTTTAATTCTCTGCTGGCTGCTGAAAATGGGGATGGAGCGCTTATGGGAGTGTCCCGAGTGCTGTGATGTTGATTTTTAATTCACCATTCAACCTAATTTATGACTGAAACTGTGATTATGCTTTGTGTATAAATGGTAATTGATTAATAGAAATTGTGTTTTGGGTATAAATGGTAATTGATTAATAGAAATTGTGTTTTGGGTATAAATGGTAATTGATTAATAGAAATTGTGTTTTGGGTATAAATGGTAATTGATTAATAGAAATTGTGTTTTGGGTATAAATGGTAATTGATTAATAGAAATTGTGTTTTGTGTATAAATGGTAATTGATTAATAGAAATTGTGTTTTGGGTATAAATGGTAATTGATTAATAGAAATTGTGTTTTGTGTATAAATGGTAATTGATTAATAGAAATTGTGTTTTGGGTATAAATGGTAATTGATTAATAGAAATTGTGTTTTGGGTATAAATGGTAATTGATTTGAATTGTGCTTTAGGTATAAATAGTAATTGGTTAAACAAAATTGTGATTGTGCTGTGGATATAAATAAATGGCTATTGATTGACTAAAGTTGTAACTGTTCTTTGATTATAAATGGATGTTTATTCTCCCCCCCCCCCCCTCCCCCACAGAACAAATATATCTGCTTTGTTTCTCTTTATTTCAGATTCTTGGAAAAGAGCTGTTCATGAAACAGAACTTCTACCAAAATGGTTAGCCCGAGTTTTTCAATTTTAATCATTCTGAATTTGGCTGCCTTACATATAAATTTCCTGTCTTCCAAAGTGGCAACCAGTTCACATGAGAATGACTGTCCACACGACTGCAACTGTGTGTCCGACAGATATTCACAGTCAAATATTACTTGTTCTCTGTCAGCAGGTAACAACTGGAAATTAATATGTCAACGTTTACACGACTATGTGGGTCGGAAAGCTGCATTAGGTCTCAAAATTTCAGGAAATCTTAGCACAGCAACTGGGAGTCTGTCATGCATGCCAGCTTTGCGAAGCTTAGATTTATCAAACACATGTCTAGCACAAGAAAATTCCTTTCACGGTTTACACCTAACCGATCTTTTAAATATCAGCTCAAATAGCATAAGGCATTTACCGGCTGGCATATTCCGTGACCTTCATGACCTGCGCGAGCTTGACCTGTCTCATAATTCTATATCGAAACTGGAGCCAGGTCTGTTCAGGGAATTGAAAGCTCTTAAACTTTTATACTTAGGTTTTAACAATTTACAGGCATTGTCTTTGGATTCATTTACATACATACCAGCTTTAGAATTTCTTGGACTAGAATCAAATAAAATTGAAGAATTCTCTTCCCTGTTTATTCCACATTCTGGCACTTTGAGAGGTTTGAACCTACGCGCCAATATTTTGCAGACATTTATAACGAACAGCATCGAAACAGACTCGGAGTTGTGGAAGAACATGGTGTCTTTGGATATATCAGAAAATCTGTTAGAATGTTCTTGTGTTTTGAAAAATATGTACACCCTCCTGCCGAATTTGAATCATATCCTAGTTAGTCCATCCACAACGGTCTGTGCTGCTCCAGAGAGGTTGAAGGGATTGAGTATAGTCAGTATTAATAAGACAGATTTATTCTGCACAGCCCCGAACAGCATTGTCAGCTTTCCCTCCACTAACAAAGAAGTTCTTGGGAACCACTTCTGTTACTCTACAGTGTCTTGCAGAAGGATACCCCAAGCCATCCATTCTATGGATAACCCCATGGAAGGATTGGTTCTTCAACGGTTCAGACCTCATGCTGAGCAAACTTGGTTTCCAGCCCGAAGGAAATGAGAAGGTACTCACATACAGAGAATACCAAGAGCCAAATGTCTTTATGGTTTCATCGATTGGTTTAAACTCGGACAACGATCTCGTAATTACAAAATTTCGCGGCAGCATGTCAGGGAATTATACCTGTTGGGCCTTCAACATGGCTGGAAATACTTCTGTGGGAGTAAACGTGCAGGTATTTTCACGGGTGAAGGATGTCGTTATTAATAGTTTGTTCATGGGAGGTTACTGCGCTTGTGGCTTCTTGGTATTTGGGCTCCTCGTGGGCTCAGTGAAGCTTCTAGTGGTCTACCTGAAGCGGAAGTTGTATTTTATTGCGCCGATGTTTTCAAAAGCTCCTTCTTCAAACGACCCTGAAAATACTTCAACGTGTCACACACTTGATGTATCCTTGAACAAAGCTGACTCAGATGACAGAGGCTCTGACGATTCGACTCCAGACTCTTCACTCCTCGTTCACGACAAGGAGTCAGAAAACTCGGATGCAGATGACAAATTTGATAATCCACAGGATGCTCACACGGCAGGCAGCTGGCTTTCACACGGAATTTTTGATTCTTTGGAAGGAGCCAAAGGGCGGCTTCGGTACGGCGTCGGCCGCAAGATGGACCGTGTGCGCAAAAATGTCCAGCATATGAAAGACAGCGGTAGCGTTTACGTACAAAACATTGTGGATTCTAGCAGCACTGCTGCCAGTCGGATGAAGGCCGGTGTTGTGTTTGGAGTGGAGACGGTGAAGTACCATGTGCAGTCCTTCAAAGAACTCTGCGGCACAGGAGACATGGGAGCACAGACCATTTCCATGGTGTCAGTTGAGACAGATGTGGATTCCCAGCAGCAGAAGGAGGTCATCAGACATGTCACGTTTGTCTGATGTTATGGAAGTGAATCATGGACAGTCTGCCTATTGCTGAAACAGTATATGGTCAGACAAGTCTAGTTTATATGTCAGAAAGGAATCTTTTTTTTCTTTTAGCGTTCACCTGCTGTAAAGTTCTGGTTGTTTGTCCACTTCTGGATTTTGGCCTTGTTCCAGTACTTGAGTTTTGCATAGACTTCCCTTTTGCAGATCTGGTGTATTTGTATGTTCTTGGCCTCTCAGGCAGATGAAGGAAACAACCCTATTTAGTCAACTTTTATGACATGCTTGTTGATGGGAGAGGGGTGGTTTTTATTCTTTTTTCCCCTCTCTTTCTCTTAAAATGGCCCCTGAACCCTGCTGGGAGCACCGTCAGCCAGTTACTGAAACTTTGTATCATCATAAAAGTCCAGTTTGTGTGATGTGGGAAAGGAATCAAGGACAGTCAGCCGAACAGTGAAACCATGTTGTGGAAACTGCAGAGATGAGGTCTTTTAGGCAAATAAAGAGGCAAACACCACTGAGATATTTAAAAAAAAAAAAATAATACTCTATTTTACAATATAAATACAAAAAAGACTGATTCTCTGCATCAGGAGGAGAAAATATAGATTCTTTGGTAACATTTCAAGAAGGGGAGAACCGCGCTAGGGACATGAATGGTACAGGCAGTGAGTTGGATTTGTTGGAACAGGATGCCATGGACCATGTCGCAGGAAGGAAAATACAGAAAGGCAAATAGGAATAATGTAGAACATGATTACAGATAGAGAGATGAACGCCTGAGAAACATGATACGGATTTGAACCCAAGGCTTTGTTGCCTGCTGGCAAGTGTATAGCCACTGCAGCTTCCAGTAGAGTAATAATTCTATTAAAAAAAGACAAAGTAACAGTTGGGATTGGTCAAGGAAATGTAAGAACTAGATTAGAGATGGAGCTGTAAACAGTGAATCATAAAAGTAGTTCTCCCCGTTTAGGTTCTGGGGCTCCATTTTTAATAACAAAGAATTGGCCCACTGCTCTCCCTCCCCCCCTTTCATAAGCATATCATAGGAGGCGATTAATTACGGGTGTTTCCCCCAGAGTTAGATTGCATCTGCATAAGAGGCAAGGAGCCAGCAGTCTGCATACAGATAGCCAGACCTGTAAAACAGATGTGCATGTAAAACTCAAGTTCAGGATAAGAGTCCAGGAGGGGATGAGCAACCAGAACTTGACACCATGAGATCAGATTTGTGTGGATGGCAGACCAAAAGGACCTGAAGGCTTGACAACGTAAGATAGCAGACTAACAGGACCTGAAGCTTGCACTATGTAAGATGGCAGACCAACAAGACCTGAAGGTTTGACAACGTAAGATAGCAGACTAACAGGACCTGAAGCTTGCACTCTGTAAGATGGCAGACTAACAAGACCTGAAGGTTTGACAACGTAAGATAGCAGACTAACAGGACCTGAAGCTTGCACTTTGTAAGATGGCAGACCAACAAGACCTGAAGGTTTGACACTGTAAGAATAAAAAAAAGTGCTGATGACAGACCAACAGGGCAAACCCAGCCAGAACCACTTCAACCCTTAAGGAAGTTAATAATTAGGACACCATTAACGGCCACACCAGCCCAGTGGTGACTTCAGTCCTGTGTGGGTAGGGATGTAAACTGTATGGGGACTTCTGATGATTTATAACAGACTTTTGTCTCCCAGCCTGGTTTTAAAAAAAAATTTTTTTTGTAGGACCCTTTTTCCACGCCTTTGGCATACCGGGTATATAGTTTAATAGAAGATTGCTAAATGTAAATTTGTATAGACAGTTGGCATTTCATGGGCGATGAGAACAAAAACATGCCTGTGAACCGTACTTCCCAGGACATCACTTGGTACAAACTTTAGACTGGGTCAGCTTGGGAGCCGAGGTCAGTTTTGAGAATAAAATAATCTGTTTTGATGTGGATTTGAACCCTATACCTTCAGGTCAGCAGTCAAGCATTTAGCTACTATGCTAATGCCGCTGGTTCCCAAATTGACCCAGCCTAAAAGACGTGGGAACAAGCCATTTTTATTTATGAAAGTTGGCCTCAGTACATTTTAAAAGCTTGTTGCGTATCCTTTACATGGCGTTGCAGAACCAACCCAAACAGCTCCTGGCTGTTGTGTGGTTTCTCTAGGCAAATTTACGTCCAGTAGTTTACCATTGCTTTCTAGACGGTTGGCTTTCTTGATACCACTGTCGTAACCAACGCAAAGTGCATGGCCCGCAGCTGGGATCGAACCCGGCACTGCGGCATTACGAAGCGTTCGCATCGACAACCACAGAGCCGACCTCAGTACATTATTATTTTGTATTAAACAGGAAGTAGTTGTAATTGATATAAAATGTTTTTTTTTTTTTTTGCTGTATTATTACCTATAAGCAGACATTTACTTTGTTGAGTTTTGTTTTGAAGTTTGTAATTGATCAAAAAATTGTATGAGTTTAATTTATACGTTTATTTGTCATATTTGCACATTCTAAATCTGTGAAAATTGATTGATTGAAGAGTAATTTGTATGTTTATTTGTTACGTTTGCACATTCCATATCTGTGAAAATTGATTGAAGAGTAATTTTATGTTTAATTGTAATGTTTGTTTGTACATTTCCCATCTGTGAAAATTGTTTGTTTGAAGAGTAATTTTATGTTTAATTGTAATGTTTGCACATTCCATATCTGTTAAAATTGTTTGATTGAAGAGTAATTTTATGTTTAATTGTTACGTTTGTACATTCCATATCTGTTAAAATTGTTTGATTGAAGAGTAATTTTATGTTTAATTGTAATGTTTGCACATTCCATATCTGTTAAAATTGTTTGATTGAAGAGTAATTTTGTTTAATTGTAATGTTTGTACATTCCCCATCTATGAAAATTGTTTGATTGAAGAGTAATTTTATGTTTAATTGTAATGTTTGCACATTCCATATCTGTTAAAATTGTTTGATTGAAGAGTAATTTTATGTTTAATTGTAATGTTTGCACATTCCATATCTGTTAAAATTGTTTGATTGAAGAGTAATTGTTATGTTTATTTGTTACGTTTGTACATTCCCCATCTATGAAAATTGTTTGATTGAAGAGTAATTTTATGTTTAATTGTAATGTTTGTACATTCCACATCTATGAAAATTGATTGAAGAGTAATTTTATGTTTATTTGTTATGTTTGCACATTCCATATCTGTGAAAATTGATTGATTGAAGAGTAATTTTTATGTTTAGTTGTAATGTTTGCACATTCCATATCTGTGAAAATTGATTGATTGAAGAGTCATTTTTATGTTTAGTTGTAATGTTTGTACATTCCCCATCTATAAAAATTGTTTGATTGAAGAGTAATTTTATGTTTAATTGTAATGTTTGCACATTCCCCATCTATGAAAATTGTTTGATTGAAGAGTAATTTATTGTTTGATTGAAGAGTAATTTTATGTTTATTTGTAATGTTTGTTCATACTGTATCTATGAAAATTGATTGACAAGTAATTAACCTCACAACACAGAACATAGACAGCAGGCCTGAGAGTGACAACGTAAACAAACTCAAGAGGAAGGAAGAAACAAGAATTTGTGGAAATCAGACAGGGCGCTCTAGTCTTAAAGTAAACCTACATAAATTAGGCATTAGATGTGATATGGTGAGCATCCCTTATCAACCATTACTTCCCAAGTTACTTCCTGTTACTCATGTGAGCTCCGTGGAAAACAAGATTAGATCCACCGCCTCCTCAAAAGCATCTCACAAGAGACTAACTGGGAGCTTCCTTTAAAGTCAGAGTGCATCTGCCTGGGAGGCAAGGAACCAGCAGTCTGGATACATGTAAGTCAGATCTGTAAAATGGATGTGCACGCAACGCAACACTCAGGTTCTGGAATAGGACTACAGCCCATAAGTGGATGAAAACCAGAACTTTCTCCCAGCTCTTTGAGAGCAAGTGAACAGTGCCGAGGGAACAGATAGATCATTACAGTCTGAGGTGAATGGCACTGCGAGGAGTTACAAGGGGATCTGGCTGACGCTCGACACTCGGGGGAGGAGGGAGACAGATATACAGACTGTTACTGGTACCATCAGAATTTTAACTCTTCGCTGAACTTGGGGGACGGAGCGCTTATGGGAGTGTCCCGAGTGCTGTGATGTCGATTCTTAATTCAACTTTCTGTTAGTATTTACAGTCGGTGAAGATGATTTCCTGGTGCCCATTTAGGTGGACTCATCTGGGATACAGAGGTAACAGAGCCAGACGTCGACCCTGACAGAAATATCAGAGACACTGAAAAGTACTTTATATGAAGCGAACAGAAGGGTCCGTTCCAGAGATCTCTTCCTGCCCTGACGCGGCCAGGCATGCCAGGAGTAGAGAACAGAAGATCTGGGATCCCTGGAACAGAGTGAGTTGGAGACTAATTAGTTGACCATAAGCGGAAATATGTAAATTTAGAAAGATCATGCATAAAAAAATGTCTATGCAACCACTGCTTACAACAGGACAATGATGCCGATGCATTTGTGACTATCTCCAACTGCGTTATTTTGTACACTTGTAGGCACTGTTGATTGTTTGGAGTTGTGTTTGTTGCATTTCTGGGTTATAATTGTGACATATACATCATCATCATCATAAACTTCTGCCTTTAAGCGTCGTGGGGAGGAATAATTTGTGATCCAGTGCATGTTGGCTGCCACTGGCTATTGTCATGCCATGAAGGCGTAGAGTGTCTTTAATGTTGTCGATCAATTTTTTTCTGCGGCCGTCCTCTTGTAGCTGATCTTCTGAGATGTATTGCTTGCGGTGGTATTTGATCTTGCTGCATTCTAACGAGACGGCCAAACCACACTTGATCTGCTGTTTCTCGATGAATCTAGTACAAAGTGTCGTTCCCACAATTTGCCTGACAGTTTTATTATTCACTCGATCTCGGATGGTTAGGTTGGCTGCTTTTCTCAGGCACCTCTCGTAGGTGGTGATTTTGCGTAAA